GTTTCTGTACCTGTCATTGCCCCTGACCGTCTCCATCTTCTTCGCCGTCCCCGTCCGCCGTCCCTCGCCGCTGCTGCCTGCCCGCTGCCCTCGCTACCTCCGCTTCCTCGCTTCCCCCCGTCTCCACAAAGAGTAGACGAGCGGAAACGGATAACGGAGGCGGATATGATGTGGGGATGAGCGCGGATGGCGAGGGGAAGAGGGGGAGGGAACAGGGGAGGAGAAGAGAGGACGAGGAGGAGGAGGAGGAGAAGAAGGAGGAGGAGGAGGAGGAAGAGGAATCACCCCCGGTTATGAAGGGTTGACCCGGTAAGTGCATTCGAGCCGGTTCAGTCGTCAACGGGGGGGATGTTAGTGGTGGAGCGTTTCCGCCGTTATTCATAGTTCCAGGGGTCAATTTCGACCCGACCCCCCGTCATTTCTCCCAAGGGGGGGGTCAGCCTGCGCGCGATTTGTCAGTTGTCGGCTTCTGCTGCTGCTGCTGCTGCTGCTGCTGCTGCTGCTGCTGCTGCTGCTGTATGCTGCTGCTGCTGCTGCTGCTGCTGCTGCTGCTGTATGCTGCTGCTGCTCCATGCTGCTGCTGCTGCTGCTGCTGCTGCTGCTGCTGCTCGTACGGTTCCAAGCGGCCCCCAGCGACCCCCAAAGGCCCCCAAGAGCGCCCCAAGACGCCCCCTAGAGCGCCCCAACAGGCCCCCAAGAAAGGCCCAAGATTTGTTGTTACCTAACAGCGAAGACTGATAGGTTTCTAGTGGTCTCAAAAGAGAGCAGCACATTACTCCAACATTACTCCACAGGGGGGTCTGGGCAGCCGTTGGGGAGCCGTTGGGGGCCGTTGGGGAGCCGTTGGGGGGCCGTTGGGGTTTGCCGGGGGGGATCGTTTTTCGCATACAGTCACACACTTCGTGCTCTTCGACCTCCCAGAACTCCATTCTTCGACCTCCCAGAACTCCATTCCCGGGCCACATTCTGAATGCCCGGAGCCAACTGTAGGCCACTTCGTGGTCTTCGAGTTCCCAGAACTCCATTCCCGGGTATGATTTTGATGCCCGGAGCCAACTGTAGGCCACTTCGTGGTCTTCGAGTTCCCAGAACTCCATTCCCGGGCCACATTTTGGATGCCCGGAGCCAACTGTAGGCCACTTCGTGGTCTTCGAGTTCCCAGAACTCCATTCCCGGGCCACATTTTGGATGCCCGGAGCCAACTGTAGGCCACTTCGTGCTCTTGGACTTCCCAGAACTCCATTCCTGGGTATGATTTTGAATGCCCGGAGCAAACTGTAGGCCACTTCGTGTTCTTCGAGTTCCCAGAATTCCATTCCCTGGCCACATTTTGAATGCTGAGGCAGGCTGATGCTGAGGCTGATGCAGGCTGAGGCAGAGGCAGGCTGAGACTGAAGCCGAGGCTGAAGGCAGATTGAGGCTGAGGAGGGCAGGCTGAGGGCTGAGGCCGAAGCTGAAGGCAGACTCAGCTGAGGATGCAGGCTGAGGCTGAGGCTGAAGCAGGCTGAGGCTGATGCAGCTGAGGCTGAGGCAGGGCTGAGGCTGAGGCTGATGCAGGCTGAGGCTGAGGCAGGCTGAGGCTGAGGCCGAGGCTGAAGGCAGATTGAGGCTGAGGCTGAAGCAGGCTGAGGCTGAGGCAGAGGCAGGCTGAGGCTGAGGCTGAGGCAGGCTGATGCTGAGGCAGGCTGAGGCTGAGGCTGAGGCTGATGCAGGCTGAGGCTGAGGCAGGCTGAGGCTGAGGCCGAGGCTGAAGACAGACTGAGGCTGAGGCTGAAGCAGGCTGAGGCTGAGGCTGAGGCAGGCTGAGGCTGAGGCTGAGGCAGGCTGAGGCTGAGGCAGGCTGAGGCTGAGGCTGAGGCTGATGCAGGCTGAGGCTGAGGCAGGCTGAGGCTGAAGCCGAGGCTGAAGGCAGATTGAGGCTGAGGCTGAAGCAGGCTGAGGCTGAGGCTGAGGCTGAGGCAGGCTGAGGCTGAGGCTGAGGCAGGCTGAGGCTGAGGCAGGCTGAGGCTGAGGCTGAGGCTGATGCAGGCTGAGGCTGAGGCAGGCTGAGGCTGAGGCCGAGGCTGAAGGCAGACTGAGGCTGAGGCTGAAGCAGGCTGAGGCTGAGGCTGAGGCAGGCTGAGGCTGAGGCTGAGGCAGGCTGATGCTGAGGCTGAGGCTGAGGCTGAGGCTGAGGCTGAGGCAGGCTGAGGCTGAGGCAGGCTGAGGCTGAGGCCGAGGCTGAGGCTGAGGCTGAGGCTGAGGCTGAGGCTGAGGCTGAGGCTGAGGCTGAGGCTGAGGCTGAGGCAGGCTGAGGCTGAGGCTGAGGCAGGCTGATGCTGAGGCAGGCTGAGGCTGAGGCTGAGGCTGAGGCTGCAGGCTGAGGCTGAGGCAGGCTGAGGCTGAGGCCGAGGCTGAAGGCAGACTGAGGCTGAGGCTGAAGCAGGCTGAGGCTGAGGCTGAGGCAGGCTGAGGCTGAGGCTGAGGCAGGCTGATGCTGAGGCAGGCTGAGGCTGAGGCTGAGGCTGATGCAGGCTGAGGCTGAGGCAGGCTGAGGCTGAGGCCGAGGCTGAAGGCAGACTGAGGCTGAGGCTGAAGCAGGCTGAGGCTGAGGCTGAGGCAGGCTGAGGCTGAGGCTGAGGCAGGCTGAGGCTGAGGCTGAGGCTGATGCAGGCTGAGGCTGAGGCAGGCTGAGGCTGAGGCCGAGGCTGAAGGCAGACTGAGGCTGAGGCTGAAGCAGGCTGAGGCTGAGGCTGAGGCTGAGGCTGAGGCTGAGGCTGAGGCTGAGGCTGGCTGATGCTGAGGCAGGCTGAGGCTGAGGCTGAGGCTGAGGCAGGCTCAGGCTGAGGCAGGCTGAGGCTGAGGCCGAGGCTGCAGGCAGACTGAGGCTGATGCAGGAGCAGGCTGAGGCTGAGGCTGAGGCAGGCTGAAGCTGAGGCTGAGGCTGATGCTGAGGCAGGCTGAGGCTGAGGCTGAGGCTAATGCAGGCCACTGCGACTGTCATCGCGAATGCGACTACGACTGCGAGAACAGCAGAACTCTACAACTGGATTCTCATCTGAATCTTAAGGGGGATGCTTCCAGATATGCTCCTACACATCGCTGTTAGGTTGCTTTGCCGGGATAATGATTTTCTTGAGACCACACTTGTTGACAAAATGTGGTTCCAAGATAGCATCGGAGGCACAAAAGGACCCTATGAGATCCCCATTATTCAATCGCTTCGCTCACTCCGCCGACCCGTGTTGTGCCATCGCAGGCGTTTGTTTGCGCGTCCGTGGCCTCTTGGAGGTTGTTTGTGGGCCTCTGGAGCCTCTTTTTGGGCCACTTGGCAGTATTTCGAGGACCTGGGGCGTCACGGGGGCATCTTGGGGGCGATTGAGCCGTCTTGGGCCCGCTCTTGGAGCCGTCTTGGGAGCCTATTCGGCCATCTTTGAGGCCTCTGGGGCTGTGTTGGGGCCCTCGGAGGCCGTTTTGGGCGCGTTGGGAGGCCTCTTGGGCCGTGTTGGGGCGATCCTGGAAGCCTCTTGGGCCGTTTTGGAGCGCCAGTGAGCCGAAAAGGCGAAAACGCCAAAAACCTTCAAAAACTTTAGGAACACATTATTTTCTGCCTCTGTGGGCTCTCTCGGGAGGTCTCTTGGAGGCCTCTTGGGGCGTCTTGAAGGCGCTTGGGGCTGTCTGGAGGCCATCTCTGGCGTCTTGGATCGCTCTTGGACCGTCTCGGACCACGTTGAGCTCTCTTGGAGGCCACTTGGGGCGCTTCTGGAGCGCTCCTGGGAGCCTGGCCAGGACCTGCCCAGGACCTTGCCGGGACTTGCTGGGGTGTTTGTCGTTCGGGGCCGCTCGGGGGCGGCGGCCCCGCGCGCGCGAGCCAGAAATATTGTCAACCAGGCACTGGCGATCTTAGCATTAAGTCAGGCCTGCCCCTCTACACAGGAAGATTCAAAAATAGTCCAAAAATTAGTCTGGGGACCATTTTTGCATATTGTTGAACATTGCTTGATTACTTGTTGACTATTTCAAATTTTTCCCCTGAAATCCGCCTGTAGGGAGACATGCCCGAGCTAATCTTAACACGCCCTTGGCCCGCTGGGCCGGCATAAGGACCCCATGAGAGCCCCAGTGTTGCCCCGAGGGCTCCACAGGAGCCGGTAACGGCTTCCAGAGGAGCCTAGGACGGCCCAAGAGGGCCACAAGGCAGTGCCACGAGGCCTCGGGGCTTCCCCAGGAGGCTCCGAAGAGTCCGCAGAGTCAAGGGAGGCCCCGGAGCCCCACAAGGCTCCGCAGAGTCAAGGGAGGGAAAGCCACCCGGACCGGACAATCGGCGTTCACTGAGCGGCCTTGGGCGTTTCCGAAGCAGCCCTGCCCTGCTTGATTCCTTGTTTGGGTACATTTGCTAAACGGCTTCGCGTGTCGGGGTGGTTATTATCGGGGTGGATTTTCTGCCCTTTAGAAGAGAGCCCCAATGCTGCCCCCAAAAATGGCCCAGGACTGCCTCGCGAGAGCTCCAAGCGGGCCGGCGGCGGCCTCTGGAGGAGCCTCAGGCGGCCCACGAGAGCACCAAGGCGGTCCCAAGCGGTCCTGGACTCCAAGAGGCCGCCAGAGCGTGGTAGCATCCAGTCGGGCCTGTCCCTCCTACAGGAGGAATGCAGGAGGAATATTCAAAGATAGTCAAAAGTAATAATTTGTTGAACATGTTTCTGGTATTTTTGATCTGTCGCCCAAAATCTAGGGGGGCACGCCCGACCTAAAGGTAGCAAAAGGAGTGCCATACGGGAACCACATGCGCATTGAATGCAGCAAGCGCGAACCACATGCGAATCGGACGTATTTCCAGGCGGAAGAAGCACGGACGACATGGATCCGATAGGTCGGTTCGCGATGTGCAAGTCGGATTGCACATGCAACGACACATGCGAATACGAATGGGGATTGCGATGGAAATGCAATTCAATGAGACAAGAAGTAGCGCAATTCGCAGACGTAGCAGCCTTCCTCCTCTCTGCTTTCTGATCTCGGAGGCGAAGGAAGTGCTCGGCCTGGAGTGCACCACTTCGCTCGAGGAGGCGCTCGACGAGGTTGTCCCGTGGGTCAAGGAGCAGGCATCGTCCTTTTGGGGGGACGAGGATAGGTGGGATGGGGGGACGCAAGAAGAGGAGTGAGGTGAGATGGGGGAGGGGCGGGAGAGCGACGGGTAGGAAATATATCTCTACAGTTAGGGTGTTGCTCGAATTGCTGAAAAGGGACGCTTGATGATCGAGCAAGGCAGGATTATTGTCATGATTCCTCTTGCTTGCTTCCCCACCCCCCACCTACTGGAAATCCGTTATGTTGAAAGTATCCCATTCCCCTCCTATTTGGCCACCAACCTCACTCCAAGATGAATCGGAGTGCCGTCGCCGCTCGCCAGGGTGCCCCCTTCGACCATTGCAGCGCTCTCGCTCATCCTCCGCGTCACCATCCTCGTCATCATGTGCTGCTGCTCGCCCTGCTGCTGCTGCTGCTGTTGCTGCTGCTGTTGCTGCTGCTGTTGCTCCTCCCCACACAGATCATCATCATCCTCATCATCAGCAGCATCATCACCATCATCCGCATCATGGTCATCAGCATCAGCATAATCAGCATCATCATCATCATCATCATCATCATCATCAGCAGCAGCAGCAGCATCAGCATCAGCATCATCATCATCAACATCCCTACCCATCCCTGCCTCCTGCTCCCTCCCCTCTCTCACCTGCTCCCTCCCTCCCTCCCTCCCGCGATCCCCTCCTGTTCCCGCCTCCCTCCCTCATTGTTCCCTCACCGCCTCCTCAACCCCGTGGGTTAGGAGGGGGATGCAGAAGGGAGGGAAGCAGGGGGTAAGGAGCCAGGGAGGGAGGGAGGGTATGAGGAGGGGGAGCCAGGAGGGATGGAGGGAGGGAAGGGAAGGGAAGAAGCGAGGTGTGAGGAGGGGACCCTCCCTCTCTCTCTCTCTCTTTATTTATGTTCTTTGTTGTTTTTGTTATCTCTCTCTCTCTCTCTCTTTCTCTCTCTCTCTCTCTTTCTCTTTCTTTCTCTCTCTCTCTCTCTCTTTCTCTCTCTGGGCCGCATGAGATGGTTACCGCACGGCCCGAGATCTCGATCCATCGATCGCCCCTCCCCTCCCCCCCCCAGCCGCCGTGCGACCGCAGCGGCGCCTGCCGCAGCAGAGCAGCCCCCTGCAGCTCCAAGCTCCCCAACGGCCCGCGGCGCGCGCGGCCCGAGGTGAGCAGGGGCACCATCTGAGGAGGCCCAGGCTCGGCCGCGCGCGCTGCCCGGGCGGGGGGCCCCCCGCGGGCGCCCGACGGGCCCCTTCCCGGTCGCGTTCCGCCGTCGTTCCCGACGCTCTGCCCATTCCGCCGTCCTCGCTCCTCCTCGTTTTTTCCTCGCTCCTCGTTCTCCTGCTCCTCCTCCTGCTCCTGCTCCCTCCTCGTGCCTCGCTCCTCATGCTCCTCATGCTCCTCCTTCTCGTCCCCCCCCCCCCTTCCTGATCCTACCATCCTCTGCCCCCTGCCCCCCCCCCTCCTCCATCAACTCGCCTGCCCCTCCTCGCGCCCCTCCTCGCATCACACGCGGAGACATCTCAGTGGCGCATGGAGAGCAGGCAGGTGCATCCCGAACCTTACTTGCCACAGATACGAATGGACCAGTCTTCTGAAACACGTTGCCCGCTGGCCGATGAGACGGACCGCCCAAAGTGTAAGGAACATTACGATGACCTAGCAGAGCTTCGGACACATCTGGCAACGCACATCCCACCCACGTCCGTAGGGTTTCAGCTTGAAGTTGCACATAATAAACCAACGCACAGTGCCCGCGCCCGTGTCGGCGCCACAAGGCCAGTCGAGCCACCGCCGAACTTCGGCGACCTGGACGACACCCCTGGCCTTCGTGAGCAGCTACGTGCAGCATACCTTCGGCTGGCTGAAGGGCGTCGTGCGCAGCGGCAGTCACGAGAAGAACCACCACTTCGACGACGAGCAGCAGGTCGACCTCCACTGGAATCTTCTTCGTGGCCAGCTACAGTGACAGCATCGCGGCCGACAGCCGCGAGTACTCCTTCCTCTACGATGGCCTCGGCAAGCACATCCTGAAGTCCAGGTACACCTGAACAAAATGGCGGGCAGTGCGGCGGCGGCGCGGCGAGCCTCCCCCCCACACGGCCGAGGGCGACGTGGACAAGGACGGGGACGCGGCGATGGAGGGCGTGCATGAGTCGCTGGCGATGGTGATCGCGAACAAGGGCGACGGGAAGGGAGGCAACGGCAAGGGGCGCCATCGTGGCGGTCGCCGACACCGACTCGGAGGCCACACGGAGAAGAAGTGGACGAGCCAGGATGCGAATGTTCAGCTGTGCTTGACCGCGATAGTCAAGCTCTCTATCCAGACGGCGTCTCGGCAGCGCCTGACGATGGCGACGGTGGTGGATACGTTCACAATGCCGAAACATCATCCAATCATCATCAAGCTCGAGCAGGCGCTGGACGACTACAGGGAGCAAGTACAGGCAGCACGAGAGGCAGGAGCAGATCAGCTCCGCGCGGTTGGAAGCCCGACCGCCCCCTTGGCGGTCACGCTGGTCGAGACGCTGTCCACCTGCGACGCGGGCGGTCAGATGCGCCAGCAGCTCAGCGACTACCTCGACAAGATCGAGCCAGCGTCGGGCGAGCCGAGCGTGAGCCGCGAGCAGCTCAAGCTGGACGCGCAGGCCATCAAGATCGAGCACCGCTGCGAAGCATGGCAGAGCTGGATTTATTCGCCCGCGAGAAAAATCACGCGCGAGAGGGTGGTGCAATGTGGCCCCGCTAGCTGAAGAGGTGCGCCGCCGCCTTTTCATCTTGCTCGCGCGCAGGTCCGCGCGCAGAAAGAGGAGGGGGACGAGACGGGGCGGGGGTTCTCCTCAGCGGGCGGGGGCCCAAAACCAGCATGCGCAGTTTCGACTCTTAGACTGGGGGCTGATCTACCCCCCCTGCTGATGACGTAGGTGGTTGGCGCCCCCTGGAGCGCCGCCCGGCGGGAGGGGTAGGTCCCGCGCCGTCTGAGGTGCGTCGCGGACCTCCTCCGCCCTGGGAAGTAGAAGCGGAGTTCGCTGCACCGTGCTGCCCGCGGTCTCCCCCCGCGCAGAAAGGATCGGCCGTCGGCCCGGCCCATTCAGCTCCTCTGTGGCACGTCCAGCCAGGTCGCGACCTCGCCCCCTAGCCAGCCCGCTGGCATCGCGCCAATGAACCTCGTCGCCCGGCCCTCCGCCTTGAAGGCGTGGGTCATTGTCCCGCGGAGTGGCTAGTGGGGGGCCGCAACGAGGAGCTTGGCCTTGCTCTCCTGCGCGGTGGATCCGAGTATGGGGCGGCGACGGTTCTGCGACAGCTCGCCGCACGTACACCTCAACCGCCCCAGTGGCAAAGGGCTCCCTCGTTGAATGTTTAACAAGGGGCCCCGTAGCTGTTTTGGCTCAAATTCTAGAGCCGTTCCGGCTCAGGCATTGCCCCTGGGTTTGCCGTCACCGCCGCTTCAGGGCGGCTGGGTGGCGGCGAGCCTTCTTGGCTCGGCACTCGGCTGTCTCGCCCATCTCGAGAACGACTTCGCCACGGCGGGGAAGATGCCGCCATGGGGACACCGCGGCAATTGCAACAAGTCCAGCGGCCAGCAACGCCGGCAATGCCCCTACCCCGACTGCGGCTGCACCAAGGACCCGCACTGGTTCAAGTGGCGCAAGCATTGCGGTCGCCCTCGCGCGGAGGCCGCTGACGGGCCGCGCGCGCGGGGCGCGGCAGAGAAGGCCGCCGCGCCTCTCGCCTGGCCCCAATGGCGTGGCCGACATGCCCCAGGACATCACGACCGCGGAGATCAACTCGCTCTTGGTTATCGCCTTCAAGTTCGGGGACAATCAGGCCCGCGAGCAGCGCGAAGCATGGGGCAACCAGAAGCTGACCGAATCCAAAGGTCCAGTTGCCAAGCCTTTAGCGCCAGGCGTTGGAGGCCCCCCAGAATATCCAAATCCTCAAGAAGCGCCTCAACAACTCCGCGCGCGGCTGGCTGAGCGCGAACCCATGCTCGCCTCGTCGCAAGCGGAGCTCGAGGAACAGGACAACATGCACAAGTCTGTTCATCGTCCTTCTGCGCCTCCAGTCCCTCCTGCGGCCGCTGGAGGCATCAGCCTGCGGGGCGTCGTCGCGGGCATGGAAGGGGTCCCGGCGCCGGTCGACGACGACGAGCTCCTGGGCATCGACAACAGCGAGCGCGAACTTTCCCCCGCCGACCTCGAGGAGTTCGCTCGCCGAAAGTCAAACTCTGCAGGCTGGCTTCAGGAAGCTATCCGCGAAGTTGTTCGGCGACGCCCTCGCGACCATCGACCGCGTCAGAGCTGAGCTGCCCGCGCGCGTGGAGCGTCTCACCAAGAAGCGCAAGTCGGACGCGCTTAACGAGGAGCCCATTGACGGGGCTGGCGGCGCAGGACCTACCTCGCCTGGACCCCCCGGTGGAGACGGCCAGGCCACCGTGGAAGACCTGCAGCGGAAGGGGCTCGGTCGCGGCGAAGCGGGACTTGACGTTGCTGATTCAGCAACGGCTACTTCTACTGCACCCCCTGATGTGCGCGAACGTGCCAGGGCGGCGCTCGGCGCAGGCAAGGGCGCAGGTGAGGCCGCCCAGCCGGCAGCATCCGTCGAGCCCATCGCCCCCCTCCGCGAGCCCACCAGGGGCTCTGGAGACGAGGGGCCAAGCAGCAGCTCCCACATTTGGCAACGATCCGAATTTTTTTGAAGCTGATTTCTCTCCGGCCATAGCCCCGCTACTTCGCCCCCCGCCCCAGGGCCCCATCGTTGGACGTTGGCGCAGGTCTCCGGGCCCCCGCTCGCTCGAGTTCGGGCAGTCTTGAGTTGGAAGTTGAGACTGCGATTTGCGCGGGTTGGGGGGCCGCGAAGTCGCGGCTAAGTCGGACATCAGCGCATGAGGGTCTCGTCCAAGAGCACCGCCTTGTCTCCTGCGATCAGGTCGGCGAGGCCTCGCAGTGGGCGTTGCGCGTGCAGGGTGGGAATCACGACTCCTTCAAGCTGCTCCGGGCGCGGGGCCAGGGTCGTCTGGAGTTGCAATTTGTTTTGAAGACTTGGGCATGTACGACCTGGGAGATGGCCTCGTGTTGGCCCCAGATAGCATCGCGGCTTCGGTCATCAAGATTCCGGGGGGTATGTGGTTGTTTTCGGTGTTTGCATATCTCAAGGACTCGGGCCTTTCGGAGTAGAACTGCATTGCGCTTTCCTCTTCCGGGTCCTTGTTACCATGGTGCCGGGGCCCTTATATAGGGGGCGCCGGCTTCCAGGTGGAACCTCAGGAGTTGGCCGCGAGTGATGCGGTGCAGTCTCTTTCGGCTACTGTCGTCTTTTCTAATTCTCATGTTATTTGCACTGGCGCCTCGAAGAAGGGCGCGAGGCAGTTGTGCAATTCCGTCGCACCCAGCGGCATGTCCCAGGCCATCAAGCACACGACTGTCAGATATGAAGCGGCTACGAAGCCACAAGCCAGTAAGGGTCCATCTCTTCAAGCAGATCGCAAAGTTGCAGGCTCTCGGATGCGTCAATCCTCCACCTTTTCCTGCTGCTGGGGCGATTGGACCTTTGCCAGGGGCGCCTTCCTGGGACGTGGAACTTGACTGTGGGCAGTACGGGCTCGATCTTGTTCGTGCTCGGGCATCGAAGGGGCTCTATCGAGAAACACCTCAACCCCCTTTACAAACTCTGGGCTAACCAGGCCGAGATTGAATTCCAAGGGGATCGGCAAGCCCCCCCCCCCCATTCTGGGAACTCGTGGAAGGCTTCCTACGTTGGCGTGGAAATCGGTCCTGGGCAGAGACAAGCGTGCATCTCGGCAGCCTAAGTTATGTGTTGTTCGGGTGGTGGAGAGCACTTTCGGAATCTTCGCGTCTGCGCTTCGCCTCGAGGGTTCGTGGGGTCATTCGGCAGGCGCTGGTGTCGCCACTGTTTCTGGCTCACCTTCGGCGGGGCCGCCCTGCGCGAGCGGGCCTGGCCTGGGCGCGCCTCTTGCAGGAGAAGGAGGTGGCAGCAAGGAGAATAGTTCCCTTCACCTAGGCAGTTACGCGAGGCAGGCAATTTCCTGTCGAGACCACCGCCGCTGATTTCGGACCACCTTGGAGAGTTGGAAGCTAAGTTTATTGGTGCCCAAAACATGGTCAAGAGCGTGTTCGACACTCTGGGTCGTGGGCCTCTGGGGGCGCAGGTTTGCAATGACGTGCTGTCTGAGGGGATCACGGTCCTGGATGATATCTCCGAGTTTCTGGGGCACTTTTTTCTTTCCTGCGAAACGCAAGTAACAAAGAATGGAGGTCCTGGCTTTTGGAGGGCGCTGGCACTGGGGCGCGCAGAGT